TCTTCAAAGCATCTGCCGTTTCTTTCTTACCAATTAATATCAGCTAAACTTGTCTTTTTCGCTTCGAATTCGTGTATGCCTAGTTTTACTGCATAGTTAACTTGTTTGGACACTATTAAGCTCCTGTTTGCCTCCGTTAAAATTATAATTTATTTTTTCCTTTTCTTCTGATCAACGAAACGTTCTCAAATAAAATAATGTTACACATAAATTAAAAAAAAAAAAAAAATTCTTTTCAAACCACACTTTCTTAAAAAAATATAATATTCCATAAATGCCAGTCTTTTGTGTTGTACAATCCTTGTCATGCGTGGTACATCACACTTATGTGCCAACTGAGATAGAGTGTGTTTAAGTCACATTATTTTGAAAGAATGTATTTTGGAATATTAGATTGATGGAGAATGTGTGGTTGAAAAAGATGGAAAAATTATTAATGTGATGAAAAATATTATTTTATTGAAAAATGTGGTTGAAAATGAGTGAAAGAATGAAAATAAAAATTTTAATGTGACTCAAACATGGGCATAATAATTTTTTTTATTATTATGTCCTATTGAGAATTGAGAATTTAGCTTCCATTCGGATTAATTTAAAAACTGATTTATAATTTCAGTCAAAGTCAAATATTAAGTCCATGTTTGACACATATTCTTTTAAAATACATTATTTCAAAACTCATTTTCAACAAAATATTATTTTTCATCACATCAATAACTTTCCTTACTTTTTAACTACTTATTTTTCATCATATCATTATTTAAAATATATTCTTCCCTCGATTATATCCATCAAACACGCCCTAATTTCAATTCTATATTCATAACTAAGGCTCGTTATTATCCACAATTTTTTGAGACCACTATTATTTTTATTTATAAACTATATATAAGTTTGCGAAATGAAGGTGCGTTCCATCGTATTTATGAACATTGAGATCATATATCGAAGTTTGATTTTATTAAGCGATTTAAGTTAAAATGCTCAATTCTTTTTTACAATTTTTTATATTATACTAGTGTACGCACGTGCAATGCACGTGTTGCAGTTTAATTGGGTATTTAATAGCGTGAAGTGATTTTAAGGTTTTTTTTACTA